GAATTCAGGAAAGGCAGAAGGAAAAATTTCCTAATTCTACCAAGACGCCTACGGGCGAGACAAAATGCGAACCGTCGGATCAAGGCCGCGAGGACCAGCCAGAAGAACGGTTGGCAGAGCTCTCCGCGTCGGCATCTACGAAGCTGCAACGCAGGATTGAGCCGCCACCGCTGGACGTGGAGGAACTCGACCTGAGTCACGTGCCGGACCGCCTGCGCGAAGAATTCCGTCGGATGTTGAAGAAGTATTCAAGGATGTGGGATGGGACGCTTGGTGAAATTAATACCACAGTCCATCGGATCGAGTTGATCCCCGAGACTCGTCTCATCGCACAAGCTTCGTACCGGGCAGGACCTAAAGTCCGCGAGATTTAAGACGCTGAAGTACAGAGGATGTTAGAGGCAGGAGTGATAGAACCGGCGCAGTCAGAATGGGCGTCGCCCGTGTTGCTGGTGCCCAAGCCAGACGGGTCAATGCGTTTTTGCGTAGACTACCGCAGGCTGACCGCAGTGACGGTGAGGGACACGTACCCTTTACCGCGCATGGACGAGTGCCTGGACTCGCTTAGTGACACCAAGGTTTTCTCCGCGTTGGACGCGATTTCAGGATATTGGCAGATGCCCATCCCTGAGTGCGACTGCGACAAGACCGCATTTTCGTGTCACTCAGGTCTGTATCGTTTTTCAAAATGCCCTTCGGGCTTACCAACGCGCCGGCGACATTTCAGAGAGCCATGGATATACTGCTCTCTCCGTTCCGATGGAAGTTGTGTCTGGTGTATTTGGATGATATCATCATCTTCAGCAAGTCTTGGGAAGAACACATTGTTCATATTGATGAAATACTGTCTGTATTGGAGAATGCAGGTGTGAAGCTCAAGTTTCGCAAGTGTGAATTTTTCGTCGAAAAGATTAAGTACCTGGGGCATGTCGTTCGGCCAGGTACATTGGAGGTTGATGCCGCTCGCACCGCGGCGTTGGAAAAAGTGAGGTACCCTCAAACGCAGACCCAGCTCAGAAGCTTCTTGGGACTTTGTAATGTGTACTGTCGGTTTGTCCCACATTACGCGAAAATTTTCGCATTCGCTCAATCAACTATTGAAGAAGGGACAACGGGCCCAGTTCGAAGGATTCGACGAACCGTGCGAAAAAGCTTTTTATAAGCTCAAGGACGCCATCTCGGCACCGCCGGTGTTGGCGGTGCCGAAGAAGGACCTACCCTACTCGGTAGATACCGATACAGGCGACTATCAAATCGGCGCTGCATTATTTCAAACGCATCCGGATGCGCAACGTAAACCCATCGGGTTCTTTTCAAGAACGTTAGCCGCAGCCGAGAGAAACTATTCTGTATCAGAAAAAGAATGTCTAGCGGTAATTTGGGCCGTACAGACTTTAAGACCATTTCTATATGGCGAGCACTTCATCGTGCATACCGACCATGCCTCATTGAGGTGGTTGATGAACGTAACCGACCCCAGCGGGAGATTAATCTGATGGAGGCTCGGCCTCTCGGAATTTGATTTCGAAATCAAAAACGAGAAGGGCAAGGCGAACAGCCAAGCCGATGCCCTGTCAAGATTACGGACAGCAGGAGAAACCGTCGACAAAATCGACGACGAAATCCCATGCTTTATGGCCGAACCAGCCGAGGGTACAGTGGAGGACGAGGACAGTTTTGACGCGTTAGACGACATCCTCGCTCTTGACGGGGGACCGTCTCTGATCGCCCCATCAATTCCAAGCTGTCACCCCGGAGGATCTCATTCGCGAGCAAGCCGTCGACCCCTTCTGCATCCGCATCAAGGAAGAAATGGATGCCGGAAAGGTGGCAACGTTCAGCATGGAGACGGAGGAATTCAAAGGAACTCTATGCCGTACCGCGGCGGAGTTTGTACAAGTGGTGATACCACAATCGTTAAGGGACCGCGTCCTAGGGTTAAGCCATTACGCAAAATTGGCAGGCCGACCAGGAGGCAGGAAACTTTACAAGACATTGAGAAGATATTTTTATTGGCCCACGATGGCCCTAGACTGCTATGCAGTCGCGAAGAATTGCGCCGCATGTGCGCGGGAAAGGGTGAAGTTAAGAAGAAACACGAAGGAAATGAAGCTGTTCACGCCCAAAGCTCCGCTGGAGTTTGTCGCCATCGACATCCTCGGCGAGCTAATTACAACTAAATGAGGAAATCGGTATATTCTCGTGATCAGCGATCGATACTCGAAACTGGTACGAACCGTACCGTTGAAGAAGATATCAGCTGCGCACATCGCACAAGCCTTCGTTCACCATTGGGTAGTCGTGTACGGACCGCCGGCCAAGCTGCTGTCCGACAATGGACAGTTCACGGCCGGGTTCTTTCAGAATGTCTGCCGAATTCTCGGCATACGCAATGTGTTTACGACCACCTGCCACCCGCAAGCCAACAGCCGAGTTGAGAGGTCTAACCGCACGCTGATTTCCGCGTTGCGAAAATATGTTGGAGAACATCCGAAGGACTGGGACCTATTTAGCGACGCTGTCACGTTTGCCTACAACACGCAAGTTCATCGAACTACAAACATTGCGCCCTTCGAGCTGGTGTTAGCTCGGGCGCCGAGAAGCATTGCGTTACAAGCGCAGCTAACTTTGGAGAACTTCCGCTCGTCACGAAGATACTACCTAAAATGGCAGTCGTGGTTGGAGAGCCTAGTGCGAAGCGCCGATAGGAGTTTGCGGAAGGAACAAGCCCGGTACAAGCGAAATTTCGACGCACGTCTTCGCAAACCGCAATATGAGATCCCACCGGGGTCCCACGTGTTCCTCCGGAAGGAGCAGGGCACGGCTAGCGAACCAAAACACAAGCTGGCGCAAGTCGCCACAGGACCCCATCAGGTCAGAAGATCGGATCAACATACGGTAGTCATTGCCATTGGCGATCAGGAGGAACGCATATCGCGAGATAGGGTGGAGTTAGCCCCAAGCCCGATGGACTATGCGCCGATAACTGGCCTACGTCAAGCGCTACAGTTCCTGGGAGAGCCGGAGTTAAACGAAGAAGGAGAGGTAATTGAGGATGAAGAACGTCCTCACACCCGTGCGCCTACGTCAGGGGACCAGGATAATTTAGTTAGTCAAACGTCGACAGCTGAGACACCTCCAGACCTACGCGAGTTTGGAAAGTCCAGAGAAGAGGATGAGTTGGAAGATCTTCAGAAGGGGGAAAGAAACAGTTCAGAGAAAGGAGAGGAAACGGAAAACACGGAATACGTTATCGACCGGGTCGTCGACCACGATTATCAAAATGGTAATTTGATTCTCAAGGTGGAATGGTACGGTTATACGCCCAAGGACGCGACGTGAGAGCCCATTGAGCAATTACCCCGCAGTGCGACCGTCACGTGTTTCCGAAGGAAGAAGTTACCCTTGCCGCCGCAAGTCGCGCACGCGCAAGCGGGATAGTCATCGTCAATAGAATTAGCAGGTTAGGGAACACGGAGGAGTCAGAAATTCGAAACAAAGGGGTCCGCAAGCAAGGAAAGTCGGAGCGAGAGGAGTAAGGCAGTTCTCCGTCCGGAACGCCTTTACAAGAAGGGACTGACGAGCGACGCGTTTTAGGGAATTGAAGTGATACTGTGCCCCCGGACGAGGCATCGAGCCTACCGGAAGACACACCCCCGTCATCGACGGATGCACGTGAAATGACAATCGGGATCAGTGTCCCGTCCTCGGGGAGCAATTTAATCCAAAATAACAATATTTTTGTTGCTGTCGCCCGCAGCCGACGGCACACACAGGGGACGTTCGCCGTCGATCTGCTAACATTGAAGACCGAGCAAGAAACGTGCTTGTTTTGTACCACGTACTTTTACATGACCATCGTCCTCATCGAGGACTTACTTACCCACTGACCACAGTAACCCACTACTTTTATTTTTATTTTGTTCTATTCTGTTTTGTTTTGTTTTTTTCTTTCTGTGTGATTTCGGTTGTCTCTTGACAAGACGCAGGGAGTAAGAACCCGCACCGCGGACCGAGGCGAATGAGCCCTACAACACATATCGGTCAGCGACCCTCGGACGAGCGTACCCAGTCCCGGGCGAGTCGTCGATCGTAAGCAATTTAATACGCTGTGTCTCGAGCCGAGGAAGAAGTGTATTCTACGAATGACTGAGCACGACGGACGGTGCCTAATTGAGTAAGTGTCTGGTAGAAACCAGACGGCGGAAGGCAAGAGAACGCGGAACGCAGTTGGAAGGGTGTAAGTGAAGGAAAAGCGTAATGCTGTAGTCGTGTGTGTGTCGCGTGACCGTCCAGGGAAAGGAGGAGCAGACTACAGTATTCCCTAAAGGATAGCGGGCTGTGTCAGGCTGACGAACGGGTTACCCTCGAGTCGAGGGAGAAGGAGGGGAAAAGAGGCGGTTGATGTAGAGGCGCATGCGAGGGAGGCCGATCGAGATGAAGTGAATGATGCGGGACGCGATAAGACCGCGAGTGAAGTGTTGGAATTGTATTGGGGATGGTACCCATCAGGCGGCTCTCGAGTTGGAAGTGATGCAGTGAACCGCGTCGCGGAGAGAGAGAGTAAGGACAGTCGCCGGAAACGAGACCCCTCGGGGTGAGGAGAAGGGAAAGGAAATGACTTAAGCGATTTTGCCTGGAACCCCCGCCCATGAATGAAATGGCCTGCGCGGCCATGCCGTGGAATGGAAAATTTACTGTAGTCTCAGGCTGAGGTAATACACCTCCTTGGATGTGATCACGCGCTGCCGCCGCGCGCACGTGAAGGGACGCTTGGATCAGTGGTCCGCCCTCGTGGGGCATGATTTAATCAAAAAAATGGGGATGTCGGCAGGGAGCTGCTGGACGGGAGGTGAAAGTTGAAAATTGGACACTGGTCAGTCTTCGAAAGTTTAATCAAAATTAAGGGAAGGTACGGAACTTGTCGGTCATACGAAAACGGGGTGTCGCTTGCTATAGCCAACGGCACAAGTATCCGAGGCCGTCCGGAAGCCCCGTCACTAACCATTGCGCGCGACTCTGACCACAACACAGAACGACGACGCCGCCGGACTCGTTTCAAAGGCGGTGACTACGATTGGCGAACTGAGAGACCGACGCTCGACGAGCGGGAGGGTCCTCCCACACGAGCACATGACATGCAGACTTCGAGGAAGACCGCGTTTAAGTCGTCGCACACACTCGCCTAGAAAGGCTGCCCCTTCCTGCGCCAGACCGCGAATATTTTCGTGAAAGACTTCGTCGTTCGAGGCAGCAACAAAGGAAAGAAAAACAGGGAAACAAGAGACAAGGGAAACGGCATTTGCTTTCTTCATTTATGAGGTGACGGAGAGTCACTCCCCAGTCTCCTCCTCGTACGCCCTAGAGGACCACTGCGGCGAGAATGACTCCAGCGGAGAGAATGGGTAGCTCCGCGAGGTTGAATACGGCGATCAGTCCGTCGATCATGACGACTGTCGATGTCACAGCTCACGTCATTTTTTTTACTCCGAGCGACCAACCGTGAGGGTCCCTCCCCTTTCCTTTTCATGTCGTTTCCCCTCTTTTCTTTGATTCTCCTCCCTATTCCCCTACCTTTCTACTTCATTATTTCTTTCTGTCCTCCTTCTATCTGTTTTTTTGCGAAGGCAGTGAAGTACAACGAAACACAGGGAGGAGATGGAGAGTGTCGTCTTTCAAGCCTGGAGCAAGGGACGCGTCCCCCACGTACCAAGATCGAAGATGTCGCGAGTGGCCTTTGCAAGGGCGACGACGCTACCCAAGATCACCAAAATTCCCCAACTCCCCCTAAGACACAACTATAGGAGGACTGTCAAGCCCGAACCGCGAGGCTTGGTACAGTATTGTATTCGACGACTTCTGCAGGGAAGCGCTTCTAGCGCTATCTACGAAAGCCTATGTGAACACCGCTGGTGTGTGGGAAAGGAGGACGACCTCTGGTCGCCGGAAGAAAGACGTTGGAAAATTTTCGGGAACGAGGGATTTGTAGTCGGAGAAGAATTGCGTAACGGAGACGCACTACGCGGGGTTGTCGAAATCAATTTAGAGGTGAGAATAAAAAGGTGCGGTGGAGGAGTTGCGTGTTTCAGGATAACTCCCTCTCCCAACTTTTCGTTTCTGTTTTGTTTATTTTTTTTATGTTGAAAGCGCAGCCCGGAACACGTCCGAAAGACGTCAGAGACCAAAAGAGAAAGTACGACCGTCGGTCGAGCTCTCATGAGCAAGTCATACAATAGGGAGAAGCAACGCCTGTCGAGGCCGAAGTCAGGTTGATTGACGCGCGAAGGAAGAGAGACGTGATCGATCATCTACGAAAAAAAGTGAGGGTACGTACGCTTTCGTTGACAAGAACGCAACAATGGATAGATTGAACAGGGAGCGACAAAGATAGGAGAACGGAGACCTCAGGAGGACGGTCGTGGGAAAAGGGAGCGATGTCAGAGCCTCGAGTGAGGACAACGAAGAAGGGAAATAGAGACTCACAGGAACCATGGACGACAGAAGCAAGATGAAGGAAATTCCGGATCGGTAAAGAAAGAAGTCGTCCCTCCTCTGGACAGGAGTAGAAACAGGAGGGAGCAAAGGGTGCGAACCGCCAATTCGCGGTATGCGCAATGGCCGACGTGTATTCCGATGGACCGATACGATCGTCGCGACAGGGAAAAGGATACGCTATTTTTTACTGTGTTCAGAAATCCTTGGCAACGAAACACGTGAGTCGCATAAAATTATCCAACGGGGAAGAGGTTAACGGATACGGAGGAAGGATCGGGACGACAATGTAACACATAGTCACATGATCTGCACCTATGTTGACTGCCAGACGGACAGCAAGGGACTCGTCACTTAGGATCTGAGATTCAAAGGGCTTGTTAGTTCGCCGTTTCACACGATCGTCAGTGGCGACTCAAAAGCTACCCTGCCGCTCACGAATGTTCATCACACGCCGAAAGACTCGCCGAGCCAAGAGATTTCAACGTGACCGCACGAAAGGAGCCTGAGGATCGCCCCGACGAGCCCAAAAAGAGATAATTCGTACACTGCTATTTTATTTGGGGGGAAGATTTTCCAGGTACCTTGGTTCTCCACCGGAGAGATTGGAAGGGAATGGATACGGGGAGATGCGACCGCAGAGGCGGGGCGCTTATAAAAAGAGGAGGAAGACGGTAACTATTGTTACCCTTAAGGGGACTTGGCTTGACGAGAAAGCAAAGGACAAGAGAAGGTACTGAGGAAAAGAGGAGGAAAGTGAAGGTAACGGGAGATACGCAGGTGATTCATTTTATTATCCAAAAGCTACCGGATGACGTCGATAACCAGACGTCACCCCAAACGGGTAATAATCCGAGAACGGATCATAGGGGAAGTCGCTCTGAGCGGCGGGTCAGGTGGGGTGGCACACCCAAGGATTTTTCCTTCGGGAGTGAGGTAACGGAGATCACAGCGATAAGAGAAACTTTTAGTCGGGCGAACGAGGGGGAATGGCGGGAGACAGAGTTGGAGGCGTCGGCGAGGAAGGGTGTGGGAGGGGCGGAGTGTTCAGGCCGTGGCGTGCCGAGATCAAAGGCAGCGATGTAGAAGGCACTGTGTGAGGCGTGATGGTGGGAGAGGTTGGAGGTGGCGACGTCATGGCCGCAAACGATGGCGGAAAGAATGCCCGAGAGCGGGAGCTGTGTGGAGAGGGAAGGGGCGGCGGGAGGAAGGAAACGGAACTGGGGAAGGAGGGAACGTGTCTAGGTAGAGAGGGAACCGGACTGGGGAGGGAGGTTACGAGACTAGTGAGGAAGGGTACGGGACTGGTGAGGGAGGGAACGGGGCTGGGTAGAGAGGGAACGGGAGGAGACGGGCAGATTCGTTGATAACAAGCATTGTTGACTTTCTTATTTGGCGGGACTGCGATGGCAGTTTCATCCGTTTTCATGTACAGTATACGAAAACAGATGATAGAAAAGTGGCAACGTAGCAGGCGCTTATTGGATATATGGCGTATGACAAGTTTCCAAATTTCCAAATTACCAGCCTGCAAAAACTCCAAGAAAGCCTCTGAGACGCAGGTCAGTAAATGGGAACGGTTGCTGGTGTGAGGGAAATTGCGGAGGGCACTGTCACCAAGCAGGGATTAAGAGTAATGTAAAGTGTTCCCTATGGTGCTGCCTTTACGATGAAAGAGCGTATATATTCTGACCCTAGCGCGGCGACTCTTTCGCTTCAACTGTTGTACTTACCGGCGGCGTTGCGGATTCGCGCGTTTCGTTCCACGCATCTCAGGGTCATCTGTCAACAAGATCGCGATATGTTCAGTCCCTCGATGGGCTGGCGAACCGAAAACGGCAACACCGTACAAACTGTTGACGAAGACACACTCGCGGCACGTCCTTTAAGTAGCACATAATGAAAGACCGCCATGCGCCGTTGATATTGTCTCGCCTCTTTCCGCCTTCGCTATGTTTCGCTTCGGCGAGCAAGGAAGACCTTAAAATCGTTACGCTTTCCACCACATCCACCGTTCACTTCAGGTATCCAATCCTTTCAAAATGTTGCTTCCTCTCCAACAAGCATTTCTGCTACCAATATGCTTTGCAGGTATTGCTGGTACACGACGAGCAGCATTGAGTAGAGGACAAACACAGAGTGTTTTTCCGAATACATTTATCGTTTGAGGTCAAAGACACAGTATTTGGCCTCAGCAAAATTATCTATCTTTAAAAATAAGCTCACTACGGGATTGATAAATGAGAGCATGATGTAGCTGTGAGGAGAGCAACTCATTAACATAAATGGTTTGTTTTACTTTTCCGAAATGATAATTGGATCATCAACCAAACTTGACACTTCTGATGGGGTTTTGGTTTTGAACTTGTCTTCACCATCCACCATCAGGGAATGACATTGCTGCTTTTCAAGAATACTGTAGCATTTTTCCCGTGCAGCTAACGGGAGTTACGGTACTGAATCCCAAAATGTATGTAGATACGGGCATTCATCACTCCTTTTTCATACGTAGACCCTTGGGATCACATCCAAGGGATATTCTTCCGCGATATAGACGGAATTTATGCTTCCACTGCTGAAATTATTTACTTGTTGACGTTTAGTTTAAAGAACTGAAGCGCGTGCCCAAAGAAAATGATTTCCTCTTCAAAAACGCTGACGCGCATCCTGACCACAGAAGGTTTATCCATGAATAAGTGACTTCGCAGTCGATGTTGCGTTCAATTCAGATGCATTCTGGCTTAGGGCAGATGCAAATGATGCCCTATGCATAAATACAATGTGAAGCTTGAGAGAAATTCTGATACTAGGAAAGAAGACTACCAGAAAGAAGCAGTTTCACTCATGCTATTATTGACGCTATTTGTTTCATTATGGCTACGGAATGTCTCCCGAGAAGATAGGTAGCGGAGCACGGAAATTTAACCAGCGGTTTGTTTATGAGTCGTCTATGAGTATGAACGGAACAAAACATCGCTATTCATGAAATCGATTACATCTATGGAATATTGTCGCAGCGTTTCATGGAGACGCCAAAAACACGAGGTCCTTCATGTTTCATTTATCAAAACATTCGTAGTTTCGTACATTGGTCATCTACCAGTATTTTGATACTTGTAGCCAATCCAGTGAACTCTTCGCGCATCTGTATCCACGCGATTTCGAACTGCAATGTAATTCCATTCATGCCCAAACCGATGTTTCCGGCCTTTTCTGAAAAGAGAGCACGTGAGACAATCTTGTTCAGATGGCAGCTTTTGCTTTTGAGGAGCACATTGTGCGTGTGTACATTCGCCATAAGCATTCGAAAAGAGGAGATTTCCCTATCGGGAGAACGGACTGTATGTACAGAAGAAGTGTTACAGTTGCTGCTTTAGTGATGGCCGATGAGAAAGGACACTCAGGATTAATGTTCCGACAAGTTAAGTCAGAGCCCTCCGAATCATCAGGACGCTACTGACTCTTCATGGTGGTGTGATTTGTATCAAAAAAGCAGCATTTCAAAATGCATTTAATAATTTCTTAGAGAAACAGAATCCTTCCTGGAAGTTTGCAGAGCGAGAAAGAGAGCGGAAACTCATGTCAGTTGTAGACGGCAGTTTGTGGAATCCCATGTAAGACTATTTCACGCCTATCCGCTGTAACCCACTGTCGTGTGTGGTCGCCGTGTTGCAATAAATCTATACCAGAAATAGACAACCGCGCTCCTTGCTCCCTGACTGTGACCACATGCATATGTAGCTAATGGCCTGACCGGGTCAGAACATGGCAAAAACGCAACATGGTATCTTGTAGTACAGTCCTATTGCAACGCTCTAAAAGG